AATGTCATCATCCTTGGTAAGAGGGTGTCCAGATCTGTCCTTCAAGACTCTGAGACTGCCCATCTTTTCAGCTCGGAGCCCGGGAGGAGATGGTCTGCCTGAATACCTTGTTTGCCGTGTAAGAATACCTCTTCAACACCTCACTGAACTTCTCCCAAGAATCCGCTTTGGCTTTCCCAACTGCTATGGCTGCCGCCTAGCGTGTCTCGACATATCGCACGCGTGTAGATGGCTCCTTGTTTCCAGGCCAATTTCTTGAACGCTGCTTTCTTCTCTTTAACTGCCAGTTGTATTTCTCGTGTCCACAATGAAGATCTTTTCTGACCTCCAGGCGACTGGCCAACCCGTTTATATCAGCAGCATTCGGCGGCAGGCTCGAGTAGGCCTCTCTTAAACAGCTGCCACTCGGTTTCCAAGTCAGCTGTCATCGCTGGGATCTGTTCAAACCATCGTGCGACGCTGTTTGCAAATTTCGCTCGCGTGTCCACCGAAGACAATGTTTCCCATTTGATTCTCCGGTTGCTGCTGCCGCCATACGAAGTATGGTACTCCATTTCTTACAGCGCAGCGTGCCAACAGCAAGGTGGTGATCGGTTGATAGCTCTGCGCCTCTTTTAACACGAACGTCCATTAGTGAGCGTCTTAGGTCAGACGATACGATTCTCAAATCGATCATCGACTTCTGTGCACAAGCTTCCCGGTAACAGGTGCACTGATGCACTTTTCGATGCTCGAAGAGGGTGTTCACAATGGACAATCCGTTGTTTGCACGAAACCGCAACAGCTTCATGCCGTCATTGTTGAGGTCGCTAGGGCCATTTTTCCCAATGACGCCGTTCCAATTTTCAGTGTCTATTCCGACATGCGCATTAAAATCGCCCATCAGTATGAGGGACTCTGTATTCGTCACTTCGGACAGAGCACACTGCACTTCCTCAAGGAAGGTCTCACATTCTCTCTCCAAATTGGAGACATATATCTCTACCAAGTTTAACGCTTTAGCCTGTGGTAGCTTTAGTTAGACGATTATCACGCTTCCGCTGACATGCTTCCAGTCAATGATTTTTTGAGAGTACCAACACAGGCCTGAGCGCAAGTCGTGATATCGACGCCTGAGTAGAACAGCTTCCATGCATTGAGGTTCAGGAGTCCAGATCCTGGGCGTTTTGTTGACGAGAGTCCAGCAATGTCGAGTAGGTACTTCGTGGCCTCATCAACTAATTCATGTTCTTTTCG